GCAACCTAAATGAAGGGTAGCGTTCTGCGCACTCATTCTTTTGGTGGATTTTTCATTTCCCATGAAAACTAAGCTTATACGTTGTACAATACATGCACAGCTATCTACCTAATTACTGTTTATAGAGGTACATAAAAGTATACAGTGCTTTCAAAACAGGTAGAAGGCCATGGTTCCTTGCTCTGAAAGTGGGTAGTCTAAATCCTGTAAATACCAGGCAGGTAACAGTGGCTCACATGCAAGGAGGAAACCACAATGAGATCAGCAGAGGATGATTTAATGCAGTGGTCCCCAACGCAGTGCCCGTGGGCGCCATGGCATTTATGTGCACCCTCCTAGTGACGAGGGAGCGCTTCCACCGGACGACCCGCCGCCAAGGAGCGTGAGAATGCCGCCGAGAAGCGGCAACGCCAAGAAGCGTCACTGCCGAAATGCCGTTGCTTCTTGGCAGCATTTCGGTGGCGACACTTCTTGATGATGCCGCTTCTCAGCAGCATTTCGGTGGCTGGTCATTCGGCGCCCGCCACACTCTTCTGGGAACATGAATATGCTATTGCAACAGAAAGGTTGGGGACCACTGGTTTAATGGAAGAAATGGCCTTGAAAAAGGAAAGGGCATATTCATAGATTCATTCAGATTCTAGGGCCAGATGGAACCATTCTGATCATCTGGTCTGACCACCTGCGTAACGCAGGCCAGAGAACTGCCCCAAAACCATTCCTAGAGCAGAGCTTATGGAATCAATCCAGTCTTGATTTAAGAATTGCCAGTGATGGAGAATCCACCACAACTCTTGATAAATTGTTCCAATGGTTAATTACACTCACTGTTTAAAAAAAAAAATCACACCTTATTTCCGGTCTGAATAGTTTCAGTTTCCTGCCATTGGATCAGGTTATACCTTGCTCTGCTAGATTGAAGAACCCATTATTAAATATTTGTTCAGCAGGTAGATACTTAGGCTATATCTACACTACGGACCTTAGAGCGGCGCAGCTATACCGCAGTAGCTGCGCCACTGTAAGGTCTCTTGTGTAGCTGCTCTATGCCAACGAGTGGTGGTAGCTATGTCAGCGGGAGAGCATCTCCCACCAACATAGCACTGTCCACACTGGCACTTTTGTCAGTGAAACGTCTCTCTCTCAGGGATGAGGGGGTTTTCACACCCCTGATTGACAAAAATTTTAACTGACAAAAGTACTAGTGTAGACAAAGCCTTAGACTATAATCAAGTCACCCCTTAACCTTCTCTTTAAGTTGAAGAGATTGAGCCCTCGAGTTTATCACTATAAGGCATGTTTTCTAGTCCATTCATCATTCTTGTGGCTCTTCTCTGAACCCTCTCCAATGTATCAACATCCTTGAATAGTGGACACCAGAACTGGACACAGGATTCCAGCAATGATCACACCAGTGGCAGATACAGAGATAAACTAACCTCTCTTCCTACTCGAGAGTCCCCTGTTTATGCATTCCAGGACGGCATTAGCTCTTTTGGCCACAGCCTTACACTGGGAGCTCATGTTCGTCTGATTATCCACCACCACATCCAAATCTTTTTGAGTCACTGGTTCCCAGGATAGAGTCCCTCATCCTGTAAGTGTGGCCTACATTATTTTTTTCTAGATGTATACATTTACATGTAGCCATATTAAAACACCCATTGTTTGCTTGTGCCTACTTTACCAAGTAGTCCAGATCACTCTAAATCCGTGACCTGTCATCTTCATTATTTACCACTCCCCCAATTTTTGTCATCTGCAAACTTTATCAGTGATGAGTGTGGGGTTTTTTCCAGATGTTAAATAGTGTAGGGCCAAGAATCGATCCCTGCAGGACCCCACTAGAAACAGATCCACTCAATGACAATTCTCAGCTTATAGTTACATTGAGACCTATCAGCCAATTTTTAATCCCTTTGATATGTGGCATGTTAATTTAAATCATTCAAGTTCTTTAATCAAAATGTCATGTGGTACCAAGTCAAATCCCTTAAAGAAGTCTGACTATATTACATCAATATGCGAAGGGAGGAAGCTAGTCCAAGCCGAGGGGAATCGACGTCCGCCACACCCCAGAAAACGGCTCAGGAGGTTTTAGACGGTGCTGAGGGTGGTGGCGGGATCATTATAATACACACTTCCTTGGGCTGCCCTTTTCCCCTCAGTAAACTCTGCTGTCTGCCTGTTTGGCATCTGTCGCGTCACAGCACATCTCTGTGCCTTAGGTCAGGTCTACACTAGCAGCTCTTTGCTAGTATAGCTCTACTGATGTACTGTGCCAGCAAAGCTCTTCCAGTGGGGAAGCAGCTTATACCAGCTGCAGCGCAGGTTTGCTGGTACAGCTTATTCCAGGAGGGCCCTGTTCAGGTTCTTTAAATTCAGTGTCTTGTGTGAAGCCTCTAATGGTGTAGGCCTGGGGTGCTCAAGTGCCTGACTCACCTCCTGTCCCTTCCAGCCAGCTTAGGTCGGTCAGCTTCTCCGCTCTGACCAGCCCTAGGCTGAGACAGAGTTGAGGTATGGGCAAGGACTTCTCCCTACAGGTTTCCAGTGTGTGGAAGTCCCATCCTGAAAATGTCCACTAGACCCCCTCTGGTTTGTTTTTTATTAATATTCTCTATCTTACAAGGCACTCCTATTGAGGCCAGGTCATTTGACGACCACCACCTCTTTCCTTTTCAACACTTGTATTTTTGGGATTCCCTTCCTGCTGCCAGAAGTGCCAGGAACCGGTCTTCTTCAGTCATTGTTTTAAATCGTACAGTGTCCCAGGTTCATACAATGACCGCTTAGTTCATCTGAATTTATATCCTATTCTGGTACAGAATTCCAGTAATACTGGCCAGTTCTTGATTAGAAGAGAGCCACTCTATTTGAATTTTTATGTGAATGCTTGTATCTGAAGTAGAGCTGGGTCAGTTGTGTTTCTCTGTGCCTCAGTTCCCCATCTATAAAATCGGAATAATAGTTCTTCCCTATCTAACAAAGGTGGTGATAGGCACCTATACTGCAAATGATGAGGGCCAAATAAGTGCATTAGAAAGATAAAAGCTCCGAAGTTCTATTCCCCTGCTTTGACAATCAGGGTCAGATCTTTATTTAACACAGCTATTTGCACAGATGCAACTTTGGATGTGGAAATAAAACACAAATGCAAGTGCCAGTAACTCTTGGATTTATATGTAGCATCGATGGTGCACAAACAAGAGCACTTACAAGTGCACACACAAATGTTTGAACATGCACAAATAGGACTGAATTGAGCCTCCTTTGAAAACTCATTTGCCTTTGTACTTCAGTTTCTTCATCTGTAAAATAGGGATAATTTTTCAGTAAGCTTCACACTAACAGCAGGTAATTCAGCCTTGGAAACTGTGCACACTCACTCACCTTGGGCAAATCATTTTACCAGGCAAACATCTTCTTTTTAATTTTTAAGTAGAGTTGGTACATTTTTTTTGCCTGAGCTGATGTATGTTCATTTGGGTTTTGCAAGCCTGGATGAATTAATATTTGCATGGTCTTTTTGCAACAGGGCTGTTTACAGGCTATAGTAAGTTACAATAATAAATATGCACTTGTCTCCAAGGATTTCAAAGCCTTTTCCAAACATTGCTGTATAAACACTAATTAGTAGCACTATAACATGAGTGACTGTACAGACATTAATTAATCTATTTTACCTGATTATAAGGTCTTTTATTCATGTTGTATCTAGATTTACCTCCATTCAATATACTGCCTGTTATGCTTACTGTAAAATATTGGCATCCTGTGTAATGAAATATGAAGCTGAAATCATGGGAGAGATCATATGTTAAACTCATTATTGCAAGCAGCTGCTTATCCAATGTAATTTGGTCCCTCTGTGGGGACTTGATTTTGGTCACATGCTTGAATCTTGGTAAATTGACAGCTGAGCTGTCTGCCGCCTTCTCCTTCCATACTCCTCCTGCATTGCCCTATCCAAATTAGCCTCGCCTATTCAAAGATGATTCGGCACTTTAGTAAGCCCCCCCCAAATGATGGGGGAGAATCAGTGAAGGTTTAGACAGAGGGGTACAGCCTACTACCTGTCTTTGAGCCAATCTGCCTGACATGGCTAGACACTAGCTGACCCGTGTGACAGTCATAAAATCCAGTTTTATGGCACTTGTAATTTTCCTGTGGCTCTGCCATATGTTAGTGGAAATCTTGCATTCTTCTCCGCCCCCATGCTAACACTAACTGCAGCATAGGAAACCACACCTAAAATAAAAGGGAAATGCCATATTCAAGTAGGAACACTAGCTTTGCTTGAGCCAAGACAAGGATCAGCTCAGAGTTGATTTGAACAGGTTTGGATAGCAGTCAATTATGTGCATGCTTGAAGTTTTCAGAGGGGAATTTCCACTAGATGAGGAACTGGTCTCGACAATTGTTTTAAAAAAAATAAAATCCTCTTAATTCAAGGCCCTTTAGCTCTTTAAACATTCCTTTCTTGGTTGTTCAGGTTTCAGGTATGGATGGTCCCTGGCCACAATAACACGTACTGTGTAAATGTACACCTGTGGTGACTCTCTGTGGCTTTTTTTAAAGCACTTGCGTGTGTTTATCGGAAGGGAAATAACTGGATAAGAGGATCACATGAGGAGGAGAAAAAGTTCTGTCTACGGTTTATTGTCCGTCTGCTCTGCAATAATGCTGAACTGGTCTCGGGATTGCTAAACCAGGACCTTAGCTCATGGAGAAGAAACTTGTGGGAGGGTGAACTAGCCACCGTAGCATTTCTCTTCCTTTCCTCTCTCTTATGTCACAGGGAACAGTCAAATGTTGGGACACCCACCCAAGGGCAGGGGAGACCTACTTGCCAGGAAAGAGGATGGTCGTTTTTATTTCTCTCCTTCTAAAATGTTCAAGCTGTCATTCATCGCTTTAAAAATTAACACGATTTTGATTCTTGGTCTCTTCTGACTGCAACTAAAAGCCTTGTGTTTTATTTCTGTTTCCTCACAGCCCATCCATGAGCTCAGATTTCCAGCATTACAGTTTCAGGATGCCGAACATTGGGTTTCAGAACCTGCCTCTCAATATATACATTGTGGTTTTCGGCACTGCCATATTCGTCTTCATCCTTAGTTTACTCTTCTGTTGCTACTTGATCAGGTAAATAAACTACCATTACTATTTTCTGAAGCCAACTGAAATCTGTTTGGTCCCTGTCATGTGATGTGCCAAACATTTCCTGTGGTTCATTCAGGCATGGAGAGTACTGTTAAGCACCTTGCTGGAGGCACTCTACCTTTTCTAGGATTGAACCCTTTTAAGTAGCGTTCAAAGAAAACGAAACCCTGTTTTTTTTCCACCTAAATGGTAAAATTTTCCATAGGCGCGGCAAGACATGTTAGATTTAATGACTCCATTGATGATTTACTTTACTTGACTAGATTTGCATAGTGCTGCCTTCCCATCTGGCACTGTAAGCAGTGTTGTCTGGTCTTTCCCACTGGATATCCCCTATGAAATGATTTTAATTCTCCATTTTTAAGTAGAATAATTTGCTCAGTGGCTTAGTATTAGACCCACACCTTCATATATATTAAATCCATCCCATATAGTAAGTACCTAATTTGATCCAGGCACATTTCTAGAGTTGACTCTAAAGGAAAGCACTTACATTGTGCTGCTTTTAAAGTGGATTTCTTTGTCATTTAAATGTGCAGGAAACGCATGATTTCTTGGCGTCCGTGTTTTCTGCTTGCTGCTTATACTATTTCGATGCATCTCTCTCTTTAATGACTAACTCATGTACTGTGTGATTAAGAAATGTTTGATACCTGCCCTATTTGCTTTTGTACACAAATTGCTCATTCAACAGCACAGTTTAGAGATTAATGATGCAGAGTTGACTTGTTAATCTGAACAGTGATGAATGTGGTCCGTAAAGGTCATTCTGGTTTTGGGAAGTTTGAATATTTAATTGTGAGGCAAAACTATTTCTCCCAGATCAAAATGGAAACCTAGCCAAATAAATAACCTACAATAGAGGGGAGAGAGAAAAGTCTATTCTGAAAAGTCAGCATGCTGCAGTCTGCATGATTCAAGGCTGTGTCTGCCTCTCCTCAGTGGTCAGGAACAAAGGATCTCTTTGTGAAGATTTCAGTTTATTGGCAGCAGTTGTACCTCACCCCACGCACTTCTTAGATACCTTGCAAAACTCCTGCTGAAAACCTGCATATACACAGCTATTCTGCATATTATCTTTCTCTGTTTTTGTTTCGTTAACGTCTCTTATGTTTATGCACGCACTCCTCTTTGGCTTCTGTGGACAGAGGCTCTGTCTGTTGCCCAGCGTCACGCAGCCGGCTAACCTTTACGCTTTCTCCCAAGCTGGAATTGAAAATGGAGGTATTGAAAATGACTAACGTAGATGAGATCAGCAGGGTTCTACACCCATTGCTGGATGCCTTGTTCCAACAGGCGTGAAGCACTTTCTGCTGCTGTGAACACTGGACCCATTGACCCTATTTACACTGGCTGGATAGCTGCTGGGGTGGGGCAGTGGGGCTGCTGTGTTTAATACCTAAAAGTCTAAAACAGCAGTTTCAGTAGCATAGATATCCCTTAGATCATAAAACCAGAGTACAAGCACTCAGTAACATTCACATATTTGCAGCTCCATAACTATTGCCCAAAGCAAAGCCTGATAAGATTTCTGGATGACTCAAAGATGGTCAGAGTGGTAAATAATGATGAGGACAGGGCAGTCCTACGGAGCAATCTTGATTGAATGGGACCAGCTTACCAAGCCAACAAATTTTAATACATCCAAATGCAAAGTTATACATCTAGGAACAAGGAATGCAGGCCACACCTAGGAAAGTGGTGGATTCTTCATGTCTTGATGTCTTCCAATCAAGACTGGAGGCCTTTCTGGAAGAGATGCTTCAGCCAAACACAAGTTACTGGGCTCAGTACAGCAGTAACTGAATGAAACAGACAGGCTACATGATCTGTTAGTCCCTTCTGGCATTAAACTCCATGAATCTGTAAAAAGCCTCCCCCTCTCTTATAGTCATAGTCAGCAGTTCCATTTGTTGTTTCCAGGATAAGCATGAACCTGAGAAACCTTTTTTCTGGGAGCAACTTAAATTAGTCAGGGCCTCGTATATGATTTGATTTGCAGCCATGTAAATTGCCACATAATTGTCCTCCTTTGAATTTGCAGCATGATTGTGCTCCAGAATTTCAGCTTGAATTTTTGAAGTAAAATTAGATCTCCACTTGTCATGTTTGTAAAGATAGCCTTCAAAACATGAGCTGAGTATAGAGACATTTGCCTGAATCTGCAGAGAGTCTAAAACAATAGCTCCAGAGAGAAGTGGGCACTGTCTCTTCGTCCCAATAGAGTTTTTACTCTGAGGTGTAATTCTTTACATGTCAGCATTGGTAACTATTCCACTGCTGACCAGCTTAGTAGAAATAGGCAAATGTGCTCGTATGTCTTTATTGGGTGCAGTGGCAGTAGGATTGGATGCAGTGGGGGAATTAGTTGCTGTCATGATTTGCATGGATAGAGAATGAGGAATTCAAACTCTGCCTGTTCCATACAAACGCCTTAAAAAAATTAACCCCATCTGCCTCTGCTCCAAAAGGGGTAAGAAAAGAGGCATCTCTTTCACAGTGCCAGAAGCTTGAACTACCTCTTGTTTGTCAAAAACAAACTCTCCTCCCACACCTTTTTTGGGTGCCGAAATCCCCAGTAATATCCTACCTAGCTGCAAAACCTCCCTGGCAACTTCTGCAATGAAGTTACCATTTTAATACAAAACTACATTTGGGGTAGGATAAAATAAATATGAATAAACAGTAACAGAGGCAGTATTGACTAGACCACACCGTGGTACTCACTGGACCAGATCATTTAGGTCTTGCATGATGCATGAGGGCTTGATTTTAATGCACAGTCGGTGGAGCCAAAACAGGGTTTTGTTCGGGTGCTAACGCAAAGTATCCTATTGTCTAATTTTTCACTTTTTTCAGCAACCAGCATTGCTACAAGTACTTTTTGCAAATAACAGATGGAGCTTGTGACATAGTTATTTGGTACATGTTTCCCATATTCCATTCCTTCCTGTACGATCATGCTGCTTCCAAGCATTTGGTTTTAGGAGTTGCAGATAAAGCAGCACCCCCTCGGTAACACGATGAACTAATGCGTCAGACTGAAGGTATTGGAGAACAAAAATTTGTAAGACCTGATTCCTGGTGTATTTACATCTAGGCCGATGGCTGCCTGGATTAAAATAACAGTACTGCCTTGGAGAAACTGGCAAGCGAGCTGCTTTTTTACAATAGGGCAGGTCTACGCTACCGCTTAAGTCGATCTAACTTATGTCATGCCGGGGTGCGAAAAAGACATTCCCCCTGAGCAGTGCAAATGACAGCGACCTAAGCACTGTCCACACCGGTGCTATGTCGGCGGGAGACTCTCTCACGCCAACATGGCTTCCATCTCTCACGGAGGTAGAGTAATTATGCCGACGGGAGAGCGCTCTCCCGTCAGTATAGAGCATCTTCACTAGACACGATGCAGCTACGCCCTTGTAGAGCTTTTAGTGTAGACCCTGCCCATAGTTTCACTAGACAGACTGTCTTCTTCCCTTCTGAAACACCATGGGAGCCAAGAGCTTTGCACTCCATGATAAGATTGGCTCTAAACAGAAGTATATTGGGTTATATATGAAATCTGCCCTGAAAAAGAGGGCAAGGCGGCTTGCATGAAGGGCTGAAATAAAATTAAATATTCCTCTACTCTTAAAAGTCATGCAGATGTGGAACATTGAATTCCGCTCTTTTAAAGTAATGCTGCCTATTATGTTGCTGTTTGGGTGCATTCTGTCTTCAGACTATAGACTACAACGGTTCAAAAAAGAACTAGATGAGTTCATGGAGGATAGGTCCATCAATGGCTATTAGTCAGGATGGGCAGGGATGGTGTCCCTAGCCTCTGTTTGCCAGAAGCTGGGAATGGGCGACAGGGGATGGATCACTTGATTACCTGTTCTGTTCATTCCCTCTGGGGCACCTGGCATTGGCCACTGTTGGAAGATGGGATACTAGGATAGATGGACCTTTGGTCTGACCCAGTATGGCCGTTCTTATGTTCAGCCTTTAAAAAAGGGAAAGAAATTTTGCAAAGACACTTGCTGATGTTTTTTCCTCTGCTTTAACTTTGGGAACATTAATGTGACACCAAATGTATTGCATTCAGTCCCATAAAACCCAAACTCAGGGATACTAACACCAATATGCCCCGTTAAATATTTTAAAGGGGGTCTTTATGCTAATTTAAAGTAAATGCTAGTTTTGTCCATAATCAAGCTTTCGTACAGTTTATAGTGTGTTCATGTTTATGGCTGCCACCTTTAGCTGAAACATTTCAAACTACGTAAGGGTGTGTGGGCCACTTCTTTCTCAAAGAGGCTGTTTATTCACTTTTGCCCTTCTGATTTTAAACATGCTCAGATTAAACAAGTCATTCCTGTCCATTTTGGAAAGCTAAAGATGCAGTATCTCTTTGTTAAAAGTAGTATCTCTCTTACCACGGAGAGAATTTAGAATCCTAGAATATCAGGGTTGGAAGGGACCTCAGGAGGTCATCTAGTCCAACCCTCTGTTCAAAGCAGGACCAATCCCCAGACAGATTTTTTGCCCCAAATCCCTAAATAACCCCCTCAAGGATAGAACTCACAACTCTGGGTTTAGCAGGCCAATGCTCAAACCACTGAGCTATCCCTCCCCCCAATACTATGCTAAGGTATTGCTGTTGTGCTGAGTTTGGGCTCCTTCTTGCACAATGATTCTCTTCTGTTCATGCTTGCCAATTGAAATAAGGATTTGTCTTCCCATATAAACCTATTTTTAGCCCATGGAAATTATACAGTCCTCTTGAATATAATGGGAACTTTATATTGCATGGGGTTGGTTTTTTGCTTGTTCTTACTTGTGTATTTCTCACCAAGCCCAGTGGGACAGTGTCAGATGTCAAGGAAGCGTTGTATTTGGTTTGTGTGTCTATGGAGAATTGCATTTTTTGACTGAGTATCACAAATTGTTTTGAGTAGCTCTCTCAGAAGTCTAGTAGGCCAATTCTTTAATGAATTCCACTTTGAATAAAATATTGCCTCTGGCATAGCGCTGTTGCCTATGCACAGAATACTGACGTGATGATGTCACTGAATATACAATACTATGAAAGCTGGGTACTGTACTCACTAGGAAGGCGAAAACATTGGTCTTTTCAAGCTGAGAATCCTCTCAGTTCAGGATTTGAAGGAATAAAGGGAGGAGCAGATAACTCTAACCAATAGAGGCTAATAGCAGCTCCAGCCAATGAGAGATCTTTTTCATAAAGAAGCAATAGAGAAGGGACATTCCACTGTACTTCTGTTGTGGGCTGTACATAGTAGATCCATTGAGATACTGCATCTTTAAACGCTACTCTGTTGCAAAATGTAAGACTTTTATAAGGTTTTTTCTTCTAGACTGTGCTGCCTGTTTTACAGATTTCTATCTTTGAACTCGGAGAGGTTAAGTGTACTAATAATGGAGGTAAATCTATAAAATGTTATTTCCTCTGAATTTTGTTACCTTAGTAGTTTACTCACTTCATTACTGAAGCATATTCTAATAGTAGTTGAAATGGAAAGAAACAAAATTATCCAGAGGGATGCAATATTCCCTTTTTAAAGAGAGAAGCCATTTTTTTATTAAAAATAAAAAAGATATTTTTAATAAATCTTAAATTAAAAATCATCAATGCAATTCAGCCTAGAGCAGCTGTTAATACCTAGTTCTGTCTTTGAATGTACGTGTTTGTAAACCACGGCAGAGCATCAACCATACCAGCACAGCTGTAATACTAACAGACTAGGAAATGTACTGCTTTTTCCTCTCACCCCCATGCCCCAGTTTAGGCGTTTTAGGCTAAGCCTGACGTTGGAGTTTTCCAAAAACAGATTTATAGCTTGTGAAACAAGATTAACATTAAATACATATAGATACGTGGAGTGTAACTTTTCGTAACCACGTTAGCGCACTAAGCATTTTCTGTTGATTTCTAAATTAAGGCTCTGATGTTTTTGATGAATTTTGTGTTTCACTCATTTTTGTCCCTAGCAATTGGGATGGGACACTTCCATCTATGACTTAACCGTTCGTTCATTTTCATAAATAAATATTTCATCTCTTCCCGTTGTCCACATTTGGAGTTCCTTGCTATTCAGGCGTTTTTTAATGTGGGTTCATCCACTCAGTCTCCACCTCTTGATTCCGGCCAGAAAATGAAACTATACAGAAAACAAAAGTTGTACTTGGCTAGCAATTTTGAAAGCCTTAAGAACTACTCGGGATAGCCTACACTTATGTCTCTCACTGCATAGAATCTTTATTATGGGCCTGATTCTGATCTCACTTAAAATTGATTTTACTCCAGTGTAACTCCGTGAATTCCAGAGGAGCAATTCATCACATACACCAGCGTAAGTGAGATTGGAGTCATGGTCTATAATAAGCTCATATGATTATGACTCCACAGTTAAATATAACACGAGTTGATCAGTTGTTAGGTAACCACAATCATTTGGTCTTCTGCTGAATTAAGTACATGAAAATAAATTTCCCAGGTTAAAGCTTCAATTTCCTGTAATTTTTAGCCGTGATTATCTCTTTGACTATTAAATTGCCTCATGTCCCTTAACTGCAACTGAAAGCTGCAAAATCTCACTAGGTCTAAATCATTCTCCTATTTATTTTCCTCTTAAAAAGGGATAGTTATTTTTTGCTTTATAACCAGTTGAATGACTTACCTTGAATGTTTCTCTATAAGACATTGGATATCAGAAAACTACTTTCACACAATACTACATGTAGAAAGCACAGCAAACAATTGGCATTTGAGATTAATTTAATGACTCAGTACAATGACTAGGGCTCGAATGGTAAACACTTAAAAAGGGCAATTCCCTTTTCGTTCTGTCCACTCCCCACATTTAAAGTACGAACAGAGGTGCCTTTCTCCACTGTATTCCCCAGGCGTTGAGCCCTGAGTATTCTCCACTTTCCCATCACCAGAAAAAGATGCAGTGTCCATTCAACCCAGCATATGAATCTTAGTGGGAGAAGTGACTGGGGGGGGGAAATGGGCATGTATGTTAGCTGTTCGTACTGTTCGTCCTATCAATAACTTCTATGGGTTAAGAATTTGGTAAGCAGCATTTAACAACTCAGATAATGTTTTTGCAGCAAATTATATAGTTCAAAAAAGACAAATTGTACAAGGTTATCAGCAATTGAATGGAGATGTATATCTCGCCAATTATATCTAAGCTCTTAAAGTAACTCACTGGGAACTGGATACTGCATCATTATGTGTCCTATATTTGTCAAAGCTAAAAAAAGTTATTAAATATGAGGGGAAAATGCAAGTTTTTTTTTTTCTCTTATCTGGGTTTCGTGCTAATCCTGATATTTTGGCCTATTTTGTTCATATTTTCCTTTCTTGATTTCTAGGCTCAGACATCAGGCACACAAAGAGCTTTATGCCTACAAACAGGTGAGATGTTAAATAGTAAACTACTTTTTTCTCCCTGTCATCTTACAGATCAATTTGAGCAAGAACCGTTAATTTCTTGTGATTGTCACCATTTTAGGTTTCCACTGACCTGTTCTAGAGTTTGTCTTGCCATTTTACTCCTTCCTCTGCAAGTACTTACATATGTGCTTAACTTTACTCACGTGAGTAGTTCCATTGAAGTCAGTGGGAATATCCACATGTTTAAAGTTACCCACATACATGTGTTTTGCAGAATCAGGGCCTTACTCTATATCAGTGCATGTTGTCAATTGTTCCCTACAACAATCTAGGATTTGTATTCTTAATGTTACTCCCTATATACCAGGCGCTTTCTCAAAGTGATGGAGAAAGGATGGAGTGGACTAAGCAGAAAAGATAAAATCAGTGATTTATAATAATGCAACTTTCAAAAGATGTATTTATAAGTGGAGCAGCCATGTGGCACGAAATTGACTGGCATATCGCAGCTCAAACCCAGTAGTGAGCTCTGGGTCAAACTCTGTGAGGCTAGATAACAAAAGGGGAAAATACAAGACTTTCAGCCTCCTTCATGCAAGGAGAGTTCAGTTCCTTCCAAAACATCCAAAGCTTTCACGGATGGTAATTAATGTAATCAATCAAAATCCTGTATTTGACTGGATTTTCCCGGGTGAAGGGAGGAGTTGCTGCCAATTGAGGCACTGACTTTCTGTGCCTAGAGCTTGCACTGACTGGAGGGGGGAGGAAAACCTGAGTGTACTTGCCCCGGTGGTGGGATCTGTTCCTGTCCTGATTGAAGTCAAATGGGACTCTTCCCATTGCCTTCAATGGCAATAGATGTGCCCCAGCAACATGACTCACAGTTCTTGCCATGTTGACAGTAAGTAGTAATATACCTCTCCTGCAGCAATAAAAGAAAAGTGCTGTCCTAGTGGATCAAAATTCAGTTCCCATGAACTGTATTTTGCTGGGTTAGATTACACGAACCCTGGGGGCATTAAAGCAATGTACTGAATTTGGAATAGTGGGATTTCTCTGTAGGGAAAGTTTCCAAGTATTCTTGGCAGATCAAACAACTTCTTCCACTCACTCCTATAGACACACATCAGTGTCTGCTTTAAAATAAACACGGCTAATAGATTAGTGGCAGGATAAATTTAAATGCCCGCCTTTCTTTAGTGTTGTAGCCGTGTTGATCCCAGGATGTGACACACACACACACAAGGTGGGTGAGGTAATATCTTTTGTTGGACCAATTTCTGTTGGTGGAAGAGAAGTTTCACAGAGCTCTTGTTCAGGTCTGGAAAAAGTAACTAGAGTGTTGCAGCTAACTGTGAGGTGGGACAGATTGTTAAGCACATGGCAAGAAACCTCTTAAAATGAAGTGGGCAATTTAACACCTCTGCAGTCATGGGACAAAGGAAGGTTAGGAGGGCCACCTTGAGGAAGAATTTCTGGAAAAATTAACACTCAGCAATGATATACCTGAGGCCAAATCTACACTACACACTTACTTCAGTATAACTAAGTCACTCAGGGGTATGAAAAAGCCACACCCCTGAGCGATGTATTTATACCGACTGTAATCCCCCGAGCAGGTGGCACTTGATCAGCAGGAGAGCTCTCTTCCATCAGTTTAGAGCGCCTTTACCAGAAGCGCTACAGCGGTGCAGCTGTGCTGATGCAAGCTTGTAGTGTAGACCTGCCCCAAGATACATCAATGATATTTTCATCCTTTGGACAGATGACCTAAACTCCCTCATAGATTTCCACCATCAGTTCACCAAACTCTTGAACACTTCCACACCAGCCTCCCCTTCCAGCTTCAGCAATGGAACCCCACAGACAGGTATTGACAAGAAACCCAGAGATCACCACACTTACCTCCACAGAGCCAGTAACCACCCCAGACACACCAGGAAATCTGTTCTCCACAGACAGGCACTCAGATACCACAGAATCTGCTTCAAGGAGAAAGTTCAGGATACACACCTTAGTCAAACAAGGACTGAGAAGTAAATTGCATCACAGAACAGGCCACCCAAATACCACAAGAGAACCTGCTCCAGTAGGGTGAAAGGAAGGGGACACACTGCCCACACACCCCTAGTTGTCCCCTACTATCCCCACCGTGGAACCCATATGGGATATCCTCAAACAATTACAACCTATACTTGATGGCGACCACATTCTGAAAGAAATCTTTCCTGAACCTCCTCTTCGGGCCTTCAAACAACCCCACAGCCTTGCCAAGCTCATCATCAGAAGCAAGCTCCCCACACCCCAGGACACACCAACTCAAAGTGGCACCAGACCCTGCCAGAACAACCGATCCAAAACCTGCAGACATATCTGTGCTGCTATGATGATCAGTATCCCCACAACACACCTTTTCAAGATCCATGGGTCCTACACATGCCTATCATAACCTGTGCAGTACCTCATCCCGTTCATCAAATGCATCAACAGCAACTGTGTGGGTGAGACCAGACCATCGCTATGCTCTCAAATGAACTCACAGAAAAATAATACAAGACAGAAACTCCTCATCACCGGTGGGCAAATACTCTTGACAAGGCAATCATTCCATATCTGACCTCTCAGTCCTGGTCCTCAAAGGAAACCTGAACGTCTTTCAAAAGACGAGCCTGGGAACTTAAATTCATAATTGTGCTAGATGCTGAAAATCATCTGAGACACTTGTTTTATGGCTCATTACAACAATTTGTAACCTAATATCCCTCCTTTGTCCTATGACTGCAGAGGTGTTAGTTGCCCATTTCATTTTAAGTGTGTTTTTGCAACGTGTTGGCCCCTTATGCAAGACAATCTGTCCCAGCCTCTATTTAGTCATGACACTCTGGTTACCTTCTCCAGACCAATCTCTTCCACCAATAGAAGCTGGTCCAACAAAAGATATTCCCTCACCCACTTGTGTCTCAGCTTTCTTTAGTGTTTTGGTCATTTATCTTTCAGTTCTGTAGTCTGAGCAAACATTCTGACATTAATAACATTACAAATGTACAATCCTTTCTTTGTTTACAATCCTACTCCCTGCTCGTTAGCCAAACGGGACACAGAACTGTGAACAAAAACAAGGGGAAAAGGATGAATTGGTAAGAGGAGGAAATATCTGAATAATGAAGTTCATCAAACACTATGGGAACATGGCATATTTGATTTCAGAAGGAGGTTCTCTGGATCTCATCCCCTTCTTTGGATTAGCCGTTTTAATCTGCACAAAGCTGCCTTCCCTCTCTCACATGTTCTTGGCGAGCATTTTGAAAACTGTGTTTTTACTAGTTTACTATTCATGTCTGGTTTATTTAGGCTGTCGAGTTTCTGGTGGTGTGTTGTTTTTTGTTTTTTTTTTACTTCTAAAAACATTAGCTATAATTTGCCTACACGTGTATATCAATGTTCAAAAATATCTACGTCGATGATCTCTATCTATCCCTCTCTCTATTATATAAAAATTGTCCTCCTTCAGAACTCCAGGTTCCTGGGGAAGCACAGGAGAAACTTAGCGTAGTGGAATAAAAGACCCACAGCAGGGGCACAGCCGGCCTGGGCACAGTTGACTTGGGCTCCCTTGGCAGAGCTAAAATTGCTTTGTTGATGTTCAGGCTCAGGGACCCTCTCTCCTCAGCTGGTTCTTAGGGACATTCAATCCACATAGCTAAAGTGGAGGAAATACAGCACAGAAACTTTGTCACTTTTAAATTATTTCCATTAAAGATTAAATACAAAGGAAATGATTTACATCCGCTTTATTTCTTTGAAAGGAAATCTCTGAAGACCCAATTGATGTAATGAAGTTCAGCGATCAGAAATGGTAGACGTCCCGGTCCTAATGCTGTCTCTCTGTCTTGCAGGTTATTCTAAAGGAAAAAGTAAAAGAGCTTAATCTGCATGAGGTAAGCAAGTGTTTTTGGGCTGCAATGAGCTATTACACCTACAGAGCAAGGCCTCTTTCTCCAGTTCAGGAGTCAGCTGTTTATCATGTTCCTTTTCTGGAATGATTATACAACTCGTGTAGATTTCACGCACTCCTGCTTCTAGTCACTTGTGGTTGAGGGAGATGGGCAGAGTAAATAAAGAATAACCAAAAATCTACAGATAAGAGGGAACAAAACAAAAATAAAAATCCGCCATGTTACAATTTATGGTGTAAATAGATCAGGAGCAAATAGAACAATTGATTGTTCTGGATCAGTGTTGTTATGGGTGCTCATTTCTGCATTTATATCAGATTAGAGACACAAAGTGGGTGAGGTAATATCTTTTACACCTCTGTGGAAGCTTGAAAGCGTCTCTTTCACCAGTGGAAGTTGGTACAGTAAAAGATATTACCTCACCCACCTTGTCTCTCTAATATCCTGGGACCAACACAGCAAACAACAATGGTTTACATCTGGTTGGTACTTAAATTCCAGAATACCTAGCATGTGCCCCAAAATGATTATTTAAGCACCTGTGCAGAACTCAATGTCCAAACTTAAGCCCCCAGGACAAAAAAAATGGGTTTTTATGCTAATATTTTAATTGGAGGAGGGAGGGACAGAGTTTGCCTCTAAGCTCAATTTATCTTGAAGGCTTTGTCCACAAAACTTGATGCCATGAAGTTATGGCATGACTGGGGGGCTGGCATCTATGACTGAATGGCTTGTTGGCCGTTTTTTGGAAAGAACGAAGCAAGGCAATAGGTGAGATAGAAGCCAGCAAGGAGGAGGCTAGAAATGGCTGAGAGAAATGAGTGGTGGCAGAGAGAGGAGTGGTGGAGATCTTATTATTTGGGGGGGGGAAACATTCTGGATTTAGTGAAGGCCCCAGCACAAGGGGGACTGTACACCCAACCTCTCTGATTGCAGCATAGTTGTGTTTAACTGTAGACTTGTAAGTGGGAAAGGAGTTGAATACCAGGTTGTCTAGGAACAGAAAGGTTGTTTACAGTAGTGAGGAACTGTTGCCACATCATTGTTACTTAGTAACCCAGTTTGGATTTTTAACATGGTTTCAGTGTTACAGGAAGGTGACCAGAACAGACTAATGACTACACTGTCAGCAATTTTCCCCACTTAAACTTAAACACGTTCGTTTCCATTCAGCTTCTGGATGGCCAAAGTGCATCTCCCTAATGCCACCATGGCGTAGTACTCAACGCTCGAGCCAAAATGTGTGTGTGACTCTCTGTGCAGAAGCTGTCTGAAAGGACAGCCCCCCAGCACACAACCTCTCTGCTTCTGCAGGCTCCAGTTGTTGCCATGAATTAATAGGGATAGAGGCAGCAGAAGAGCCCAGAGCAAAGCAGAAATAATGGCGGGGTGGGTAACTGCAATGGAGAGACAGAGCCCGTGGCCTGAGGCAGCATCCAGTGTTGGTCAGACAGAGAGGGACTGCAGCAGTCATGGGGCACTGGGAGCACAATATGTATGTTATGTAACGCACATCCCCAGTCCCCGAACTAGCCTCAATGTAAACAGATGTCATTGTCATGGTGTTCCCTAGAATATTTTAGAAGTCTAATTTGTTAATGAAACAACTGGAAGCCTGACTCTGAAATACTCTGTACCACATCATCGGCTTCCTGCATGTGGAAGCTGACTTGCTGTTGCTGGATCAGAAAGGCTCCTACGCTGAAGTTTGGGCAGGATGTGGGTTTGGGGTGGAGGAGGAGAAGCATTTGGGGACAGAAATAATGTATGTAAGATGATAGATTCAAATGTGGGTCCCTCAAATATAACCATATAAAGGTGATTTCTGGCTCAGACTTGGTAATGGGTCAGATGAGTACATTTCTGGTTGCTACCTGAGTTGGGCTGAGTAAACTCTGTGGGACTTCATTCCAATTTAAAAACACCCAGCCGCCTAAGCTTCTGTCCATTATGATTGCAGAGATCCCCCTTCACAGTATGAGCCATAACAATGCTGCCTTCCTGAGCCTGCAGATAGATAAACAATACCTTGAGAGGTAGGAAGGGCACCTATTCACAGCAGCAAGATGTCTACTTTGGTATGTTCAGAATTATGCCATTGCTGACTATTTCGCTGCTGATTACTTTAGCAAGAACACTGAGTTCTTAGAATCATAGGACTGGAAGGGACCTCAAGAGGTCATCTGATCAAGGCCCTTGCACACAGGGCAGGACTAAGTATTCTCTAGACCATCCCTGACAGGTGTTTGCCTAACCTGCTCTCAAAAATCTCCAATGACGGAGATTCCACAACCTCCCTAGGCAATTTATTCCAGTGTTTAACTTCCAGGATTGCGGTGGAGCATGCAACAATTAGCACCACTGCTCCCAACCCTCACCACCCTGCCGCCTTCATGAGTCAACAGTGTGCCCCAGTGTGCCCTTGTTGCCAAGAAGGCTAATGGCATTTTGGGCTTGCCAGCAGATCGAGGGACGTGATCATTCCCCTCTATTCGACATTGGTGAGACCTCATCTGGAGTAGTGTGTCCAGTTTGGGGTTCCACACTACAAGAAGGATATGGAAAAATTAGAAAGAGTCCAGCGGAGGGCAACAAAAATGATTAGGGGGCTGGAGCACATGACTTATGAGGAGAGGCTGAGGGAACTGGGATTGTTTAGTCTGCAGAAGAGAAGAATGAGGGGGGATTTAATAGCTGCTTTCAACTACCTGAAAGGGGGTTCCAAAGAGGATGGATCTAGACTGTTCTCAGTGGTACCAGATGACAGAACAAGGAGTAATGGTCTCAAGTTGCAGTTGGGGACATTTAGGTTGGATATTAGGGAAAACTTTTTCACTAGGAGGGTGGTGAAGCACTGGAATGGGTTACCTAGGGAGGTGGTGGAATCTCCTTCCTTAGAGGTTTTTAAGGTCAGGCTTGACAAAGCCCTGGCTGGGATGATTTAGTTGGGGATTAGTCCTGCTTTGAGCAGGGGTTTGGACTAGATGACCTCCTGAGGTCCCTTCCAACCTATAATTCTATGATTCATTAGATGCCTAGATGGACATTGGTACGGGTTCAAATTGTATTTGGCACTGGTGTGATTGCTACTGGAATACTTTGTCCAGTTCTGGTGTCCACAGTTGAAGAAGGATGTTGATAGATTGGAGAGGGCTCAAAGAAGAGCCGTGAGAATGATTAGAAGATTGGAAATCATGCTTTGTAGTGAAAAACTCAAGGAGCTCAATCTAGTTATTTCAACAAAAAGAAGCTTAAGGGGTGACTTGATCACAATCTGTAAGTACGAACAGGGGGAACAAAAAATTGGTAACAGAGAGCTCCTCAATCTAACAGACAAAAGCATAACAAGATTCAATGGCTGGAAGCTTAGGCTAGATAAATTCAGACTTAAAATGAGGTGTGAATTTCTAACAGTCAGGGTAATTAACCATTTGAACAATTTACCAAGGGATGTGGTGGATTCTCGGTCACTAGCAACTTTTAAATCAAGATTGGATGTTTTGCTAAAAGATCTGCTCTAGTTCAAGCAGGAATTAATCCAGGGAAATCCTATTGCCTGTGTTATACAGGCGGTCAAACTAAATGATCACAGTGGTCCTTTCTGGCTTTAAAATCAATGAACTTCCAGCTATAGATTGGAATCCTATTCCGATTTAAACCTTACGCCAGGAAATAAACTAGTGATTTCCTTGTCCACTATTATATCCTAGTAAACCGGGTGGGTTGACTTATGGGGTCTATATACCAGCTGACGTTTCTGAAGGAATGAAACTTAAACCACCTGGAAATATCTGTGTGCCAGGTCAAAAGAATGAAGCAGGCTGCACTCTCCCTTCCGGGGACTCTACTAGAGAAGGGTGGGGGTGTGTGTGTGTGTGCGCGCTTGCTTCTGAGCTCTCAGGACATAGGCCAAACATTTCGGCCTCCATTGACATGCTGTGGATGTTGAGCCTCATGCAAGGTGACAATATTACCAAACAAAAGCCTGTTTTATGCATTTTAAACATTTCTGCCCTAGTAAAACTTACTCTCAAGCGCTCCCACCTGCCCTAAGGATTAATTCCCTGCAGGGTTGGGTAGGGGGAGGTTTACGCTTTTTGTTTACACCAGAGTTTGGTGGAGAAATGCCCAAAACCAGGTTCAGATGTCTTTATTTCTGTTTTAAAAGTTGAAATAAAACCCCCCGACCTGTTTCACAGCTCCAAAGAATTTTAGGGCAGCAAATCTGAGTTAACTCACCTGCCAAATGTTAGCTTGATTTGTCTAGAAACAACCAAAAATTTTAACTCTCCAAATCTAGAAAGTCTCCTAACAGGAAAAGCCGACTTGTCCCTAATTACAGTGATGCCATCAGCACTGTCACGATATCTTGCGGAGACTCTGCATTTAAATTGCAGGCCATCAGAGAGAAGAGAACTCTGGATGGCAGAAGCTGAGGCAGCTCTGACCAGCATGAATCTGACACCACTCTACCACTGCCTTGGGGAAGCTAAGGGAACACAGCCAGTGATGCCGTTGGACCAAAGCAAGACTTGCCAGCAGCTATTTTAAATGAAGAAGTGATTTATGTATGAAACAAACTCCTATGCCTGGACCTACTGCGGTAGGGAAGGAATATCCCACAGGACTGTCATTGAAGTTTGCTGGACGGTCTCAAAAATATTCCCCATCAGAAACACCCTTTTTTCCTCTACCTCTGTTATTTAGACTTGCAGTAATAAGTGTGTGTCTGCTTCATCCAGTAGCCGGTGTTAGGCAGGCCTTTCGCCTGGTTTTAAGGCAGGTAGTCCTCTTTTTCTATGGTCACACGGATGCAAGTGGAGCAGCGCGCTCTTCAAAATGGCATCCTCCATGCGGTGTTGACCTTGACTATACCATACGTGCAAGGTCACACGAATGGGATCACACCTGGGCCCACACCATTCCCGGAAGTACTGGCATGTCCAGTATTCTGGGGACGCGGCAGTGGCTCTTAGCCAGCATTCACCCATCACAGCATGTACCCTGCCACTGTGAAGCGTTCATGGTGTGCGGTGGGAATGTTTAGTTACAGGAGGAGCTGAGATACACTTGACTGTACCTGGAATAATATTAATACTCAGTCTGCCCGTGATGCCTCTCGTCCGCGGTACTTAAGGCCCTGATGCAGCGTTCGCTTCCAGGCACCTCTTTACCAGGAAGATGTAGGCGAGCTGGAGAGAGCTCAAAGAAGAGCAGAAGAAATAATTATGGGGCTTCAGCAACTTGGCTTAGGAAGGTTGATGAACAGAGCGCAATTGTTTTTCCCTTTAATTCAGAAAAAGCTGAAAAGAAACTTCCTAAAAATTCACCTTTTGGGCACTGTTGACTGCTCCAGTTCCTGCTCGTAAGAGCTAGCAGACACTCGGGAGAGCTCTTCGATTCCGCACGTCTGCTCTATTTTCTGTAGTGCCACTTGACAGGCCATTAACATGGTGCAAACTATGTGTTCACAGTACTGAAAAAAGAAGTCTGGATAGCAATCTGGGGCCCAATCCTGAGGGCTTGACTTGGGCAAACCTGCTTTGAAGTCAGTGAGAGTTTGCCTGTGCTGCAGGATTGATCTGATCTGTAAAGAGAATTCCAGACTGATGACTGGATATAATCAATTGATCTTGCTCCCTTTGAAAAGGTTTGGGCAGTCAAGAACGCCTCGTGTTCCTGCAGCTCTTGCCATTGGAGTGTGCTGCACCCTGGGGACAGGTTGTCTGTTTGCTAAGCCTTTTGGGAGCTTTGCCTTTTGGGAGCTTTCAGTTCTATGAGAAGAACAGCATTAAAATACAGCACAGCGCATTAAAGAGCCCTGCACCACTGCAAGCACAAGTATCAATGACGCAGCCCCAGGAAAATATCATTTCGGTGAAGAATCCGAGGGAAAAGGAGTTGGAAGCATCAAAAATGGGTTAAGAGGAACCTGTGATTCAGACTAAGGAATCAAAATGTATTCCTCATACAGGCACCTCCGATAACTATCTACAGCCACCTTTAATGTGCTTCAATCAACTCTAGTTTTACTTGTACTTCAGGGTATTTAATGTTCTGTTCCTTCGTATTTTCTGCATAAGCTTCAGGGCTTGGAAAGGCAGGAGGTGATCATTATAGATACTACTTCTGTAGTATTTCACATATGCAAAGCCCTGTACAGATTTTCACTAACCTTAATAACAGTCTGTGAGGGAGATGAGTATTATCCCTATTCTGCAGATGGGGAAACTCAGGCAGAGAGGTTAAGTGAGTTGCCCAAGGTGACAGGTGGTTGAGTCAGGATTAGAGTTTAGGAGTTACTGGCTCCCAGGTTTTTGCCACTAGACCATGTGCCTCTTAAGTTTGTAGTCTCTATTTTATCTTTTACAAGACACTAATGCATTGGCCTCACAGAAAGCAAGTAACTCAGAAGAACCCCACCCACACCGGGCCACCTGCTGTGTTTGCTGAACTGGATTAGCGTGACTGGTCATCCATCTTGGGTGGACAGGGTCAGACTGCCTCTATACCGAACTTAGAAACTCTCCTAGCCTATACCCCTACTCCTAGCCAGGACCTCATTCCTAGTTTTTCATACAGTGGAGATCTAGCCTAAAATACTGTTTCTAAACTTGGGCTTACCACTAGCCAGCCAGCCAACCCCTGTTTTAAAACTGAGCTGGCCTGAACTGGTTTTAAATTTGGTTTCTAACTAGTTCAACCCAGTGTAGAAAGGAATAACCCTCTCATAGGCAAAGTATGGGTGTTTGACGTCCGCCATGGCGGCACTGCTGAGGAAGAGCAACACGCAGAATAAATGTTAAAAGGAAATCGGACTGGGCTTGCCCATAGTGGAAAGGAGTCAAAGTGGATCTAAAAGAAGGGTAGTTACTGAGTAGCAGGATGGTGAAAGCCCTAGTCTTTTCCCTGCTGGTGATTTAATGGAAATGAGGTTGGGGGAAGTCCAACTTGGGACCCATCTGCACTGTAGGAGCTTTCATGTTGAGAAACCTAATTACAGCGTAGGACTTACAGTCCCAGGACTTACATTGTACAGTAGAACCTCAGAGTTACGAACTGACCAGTCAAACACACACCTCATTTGGAACCGGAAGTACATGATCAGGCAGAAGCAGAGACCAAAAAAAGGCAAATATAGTACCGTACTGTGTTAAATGTAAACTACTAAAATAATAAAGGGAAAGCAGCATTTTTCTTCTGCATAATAAAGTTTCAAAGCGGTATTAAGTCAATGTTCAGCTGTAAACTTTTGAAAGAACAACCATAACGTTTTGTTCAGAGTTACAAACATTTCAGCGTTCCGAACCACCACCATTCCCTAGGTGTTCGTAATGCTGAGATTCTACTGTAATTCGGACTGAGTTGTATTTTCACCTCCTCCCAAACGGGGCCGCAATACAGTCCAAGGTTGTAGCATGGTCTGGGTCGACTGTTGAAACCCGGGTCAGGCCTGTCCATGCTACGTGACTAATTCCTGTATTATATTAAGCCTCTCCCACCCACCCCCCAAAAAGAGTAGCTTCCACAGTGCAGATGGGAACTTGATTCTTACCAAAGAGCTATCCACACCATGAAAAGCGCCTACGCAGTAGTCTTGAAATAAGAGAGGCTGAAGAGCTGGAATAGCAGGAGTCCTTACAGACCAGGATTAAGGTGATTTGGAAGGGTTCTCTAGGTATCTTGTACAGCCAAGGCCTGGCTAGGTCAGATATGAGGCAGGCGATTTGACCTGTAAATTCAGCTACAAAATTTTTTCCAGCAATCCAGTGGGCGTAGTGGTACATAGGTGCTGGAGTTAGGGGTGCGGAGGGTGCTGCAGCACCCCCTGGCTTGAAGTGGTTTCCATTATATACAGGGTTTACAGTTTGGTTCAATGGCTCTCAGCACCCCGTAGTGGTATGGCCAATGTGAAGGACATCGTGGATTTTATAAATAGGATATTAGTGCTGGACAACATGTCATTTACAAGGTTGCCATAGTGAGTAGGAAAGAAGTCTCTGTTTCTTGTGTGCATAATCTTTAGTTGTTCACTTTTGAAAGTCAAATGGAGCATTAACTAACGCCTGAGTGCTTCTGCTTCGCTGGCATCATTTCCATAGATCACTGAGTATCCTTGGTGCCTTTCTGCAAGCGCATATTCTACTATGCTTACTGATTAGCTCTCTTGAAATAGCCCAGTGGTCAACAGTGGAAAGTTGGCTGGATCTAGGAGCCTATTGCCAGAGAGGTGTGGCTGCTATTGACAGTTAAGCCAAGCGTCTCAATGAAGAGCTAGTGACAGTTGTGTGGGAGTGAGTTTTACACGCTAAGAAATTTTTTTTTAAACCAAGAGCATGTCACAAGGTGGGGAGAGGGCTCTCGGGTAGTCTGTATCGACTGAGCGTCTGTCTGACCATCCCCCGCAATAAAAGGTGATAAGTTGTGTTGTGTGATTAGAGCCCAGTCATTTGTATTAAATGCAGAGAATGTTAAACTCTTTGATTTGGATTAACATGTCAGATTAACGAACTGAGGCCCTTGGTTACTTATCACTTAAACTCTCCCAACCCTGACACATGTGACTGTTCCAAACTCAGATTGGTCTGTGCACGGTTACTCAGCAGAAGCCTCACAGAACAGGTTCTGCACGGCACAGAGCACTTGCATTTCTCTTACACTCTCTCTGGATTTGCCTATGCTAGAGGAAAAACATTGAGAGGGAAGCTTAGCCCTTCAGAAAGGCAGTGATGTCAGAGTTGTGTCCAATGTCAAGACTGCAGGTTCACTGTGGCCATGTCTACACAACAAAATTCTGTCGACCTAATTTATGTCGGCATACAGCCACTGCAGTTATTAAATCACTTGTGTGTACACACCTGTGGCTCCTTGTGTGGGTGGTGCACGTCCTCCCCAGGAGCACTTGTATCAATTGTATTGTCAATGTGGGACATGGTGGGATGGCTCCTGAAGGCCCTTAACAGTCAACATAAGCTATGCAGTATCTCTACTGGCATTGCATTGACCGAATTACATGTAGCGTGACTCTACGCTACTCGGGGAGATGGTGTTACTAAATCGGCATGGAGAGGAGGCACTTATGTCAGCGGGAGCCAAATTTAAGTGAAGACGCTTCCAAAGGTAGGTCGATGCAAGGCAGCTTATGTCGACCTAACTGTGTAGTGTAAACCAGGCCTGTAACTTTGGCCTCTGGATGTTTTTCCCCTACAATATTTTTGTTAGGATCACAAGTGAATAACGTAACCCGTTTTCACTGAAGTGTGTTCTGTCCCAACGCAGAGTCGTAGTGAGACCATTTGACAAATCTGCATCCCTGATGAAACAAGATGAAACCGAGTTCTTTAAAACTCTCATGTTAGTCAAGAGAGCAGTTTGGTGCAGAGGTTCCTTGGGGAATGTTTCCATTGACTTAACCTTACCTACAGAGTATGTATTCAGAAAGTTTTCCATCAACTGATTCCATTGTGTCTCTGCTTTCTCACCTTTCAGATCTGTGCCGTTTGTTTGGAGGAATTCAAGCCCAAAGACGAGCTGGGAATCTGTCCATGTAAACATGCCTTCCACAGAAAGTAAGTGCTGAGCTACCCGTCGGTAAAAAAGACCAAAGTTATGTTTACAAAAGCCTTGGATGTCTCTTGGAAACACTGGCAGCACTACGTAGTTGATGGCCTCTGAATTACAAAGGCTTATATTGTATACATCTGCCTGTGCTGTGTTCTAAAGGATTAACAAACGCTACTCCTCTTTAATAAGGCCTCATTTACTGTATTAAGTTGAGCCATGTTTACTGAAGCTTTGGAAATCGAGTCACAGTTGCCTTGGAAGTTGGTGGGAAAAGTTGTCTGCACACGAGCCTTGCCTTTCATAGAGAGACTTGTCTTGTCACACATTCATTTGCATTAGAAGTCGAGGGTTCTAGGTGGTGTGTATGCGGCTGTGTGCTGTGTTGCCTAGTTAAACCTGCCCAGGGTGGGCCTTCATTCTAAAAGCGCAGCACACTGCCACCTGGGATGCTCAAAACAAAGCAGGAAACGCAGAGTGGGACTGGCTTGCCTGGTTGGGACAGGCTGGAGTGGAGAGAGTGGAGTGCAGGGAGGCCAGGGAGAAGGAGGCTTACAGTGATCGGGGTGGCAACGGATGAAGACTTGCACTGAGGTCCGAGCAGTAAGGCTAGAAAGGAAGTAAATACTTGTCCTGGAAGGCTGCTGTTCTGTTCATCTGTAGGCTATGTATCGTTCTTGTATAGCGTACAATGTGGGAGAGGGAGGGGCCATGGCTGGCCTCCAAATCCCACTGCAGTCACCTCTCCCTCTGCCCTGGCTGGAGAGAGGCCAGCAGGCACTCTAGTGCTATTGGGCTGGAACTTTCCAGTTTAGTTCTGAACTTCACACCCTGCAACAGGATTTCAGTTGAGCTAACACACACTAAAAACTCACGCAATCCCCACCCCCTCCCCCCCAACTTGCTGTCTACCAGGTGACTCTAATTGTTAGTCTAACAGTTCCCTTACATAACCATGTCTACACTGAACTTTCATTGGTAAAACTTTTGTTGGTCAGGAGTGTGAAAAAAACACCCCCCTGACCAACAAAAGTTTTACCGAGGAAAAACGCCGGTGTGGACAGATCTTGGTCGGCAGGAGACGCTCTCGCACCATCAAAGTTAATGCCCCTTGGTGGAGGTGGTTTTATTTTGTTGGCAGGAGAGGGCAGCTATACTGCGTACCTTACAGCTGTAAGGCGTGCAGTGTAGACACAGCCTCAGATTTGCTCTAAAGCAGTGCTGTCTGTTCCCATGGTATGAATGCATAATTTCCCTCTCCCCCAAAGCATGTAACCTAAACAGACAGTGGAAAACTGCTTTCCCACTCATGCAAAGGTGGTTTTTCAGTGACCCAGATCTGGACATGGACCTAGGTTTTGTGACTTTACTCCCTCAAAAATCTGCAGATCCATGAATCATTCTAGCTGTCATGGCCTCTATGTACTCTGTGTACATGTCTGTGGTGTTCTGCATTGCACCTGTTCATGCCTTCAGATCATAGTGTTCCACCCGCTCTGTACAGCGATGCAGCACGCTCTATTGGGAAGAGCTGCGTGAGCGTCTGGAGCTAGATCAGTAATAGTCAATCTCTCTTGTGCGCAAGGCATGCCCACAAGCTTTTTGAAGGAAAAACGCCAGACACTGGTAGTTTAGGACTGAATCCTGCTTCAGTGGGAGTTGAGGTTGCTTTGCACCCTGCAGGAGCAGAGCTTTGTGACCTAGCAGTAGCTCAAATGCAGTCTTTGGGGGCTAGTGCCTGTTTCCCTGGGAGAGGGAATACTGGTGAAGAAGCTGGAGTTATCCCCTCCTCCCTTTGGAAAACGCCATTGGTTCTTTACCTTCCACCTGTCGACCTGCCAAAGATGGGCAGAATTGACATCCGGCACGTAGTACTTCCCATGCTGCAGTTCTGGTATGAGCCCAAGTCCTGGGACAGGGTTCAAATCTGCCAGATACTTTGCTCTGAGATGGGATTGCTACCAGCAGAGTTGTGCTAACACAGCAACACTCTGGGCCTAATTCTGCAAGCCTGCTGTGTGCAAAGCACCCGCTGAAGAGCTCGGATCTGTGTTGGGGGTCGGCAGAAGGCAAGAGCTTGAGTTGAGGATGCCAGGTCTGACCGTTTGGGGGCTTTTGTCAGGATGTGGGTTTGCTTGGATGGCGCTTGCTCTTTAAAAGAAAACAGCATTGCGGAAGTGAGAGTCACCACAGAAGTCCATAATGGCATTCTAACCGTCATCCCAGTTCAGCAGAATCAGGCACATTTAAGTGCAGTTTTTTTATTTGCATAAGAGGGGGGTGCGGAATTTTAAAATTCTTGGGGTGAGATTATCTCTAAGTTCCAGTATAGAGCTGGCATAGCGATTTTCCTGCTATAAAAATGCCTGTTCACTGTATAAAATTGACTTTCTACGTGTGAATGCAAAGAGGGACTTTCAGTGGTTTGAGCATTGGCCTGCTAAACCCAGAGTTGTGAGTTCAATCCTTGAGGGGGCCACTTAGGGATCTGGGGCAAAAATCTGTCTGGGGATGGGTCCTGCTTTGAGCAGGGGGTTGGACTAGATGACCTCCTGAGGTCCCTTCCAACCCTGATATTCTATGATTCTATGAACTAAAACTCTGGAGGTAGAAATGTGCCTAATTGGATGAAAATGGCAGGTGAGTGTGGAAGCCAGGAGTCTGGGGCTTGATTCCACCTTTGTCACTGACTCTCTCTACATGAACTTGGGTAAGTCATTTAACTTCGCTCTGTTTCCGCAGTTTCAACATGGAGGTAATGATTTCTACCTCCAAAAGGCTGAGAGAATTAATGTTTGGCAAGTGAGACGAGGCGCTCAGATGAGGGGGGCCGTAGAAGTGTACAAAGTGTTCAGTGGTGGTAATCGGGTTCAGTGTGAACTAACTCTGTTCTCTCTTCTTCGTTCCCAGGTGCCTCATTAAGTGGTTGGAGGTGCGAAAAGTGTGTCCACTCTGCAACATGCCTGTCCTACAACTGGCACAACTCCATAGTAAGCAGGACCATGGGCCTCCCCAGGGACCCCTGCCTGGGGCAGAGAACATTGTATAGCTTCTCCCAAGCAAAGGACACTTCCATCACAAAAAATATCGCAAGGATGAAAACGATGGACTTACGCAGAGAATCGCAGATCTCTGAATCTGTTGCTTACAGCCTTGGTGCATCTACCAGGATTCCCTTTGTCTCATGAAGAGCTCCCACGATGCACTTTAGGGGACGGGGCCAGATGCTTGGACTTCAGAACAACCAAAGCAATATGCCACCAGCGCAACAAGAAGACAAAAGGCAACGACAAGCCTATGTGTTTGGGTTTTTGAGAGCACTTTATGACGGACCCTGTCGACGATATTACATGTGTAGGCCTGGTACCTGTTTCTGGCTAGTTGACTGTATAGTGTGCTGAGAAGGAGGGATAATGTTACAAGTATAATAAGAGAACTTACGAAGCAAAGTCTTTCAAGACACTGGCCCCTGGGTATCTTGAATGGTAGATCCTATGCAGCCAGTGGACATCTTCCCATCTCAAAAAAACAAAACCAACCTTCACACTCCCTTTAAAAACTGTCTCCATAAGGCCAAACCCAGCCAGCGGTTACCTCGCGCTGAATGGCTAGTGGCTGGAGAAATGAGCAAGGGTTTTACATTGTTCCTTTACGGAGATTTTCCTGAAGTTGTGGGGTTACTCAGACGTTTAAATTTTGACAATGTCCTGTTAGCATGGACAGCACCATGACCAGTCTGCCAACAGCCTCTAAGACAGTGCAAGCGCATAAGCACTCTGCGCTGAAGTAGTTCCAGGGGAAGGTTTGCAGGTATTGGGCTGCATCTGTCCAGTAAGGGAACTGGGTCATTCTAATGTGCACCTATGGCCTGATTGTTTCGGAGGTACTGAGCACCCACAGCTCCCCAGTCTTCATCTCTGAAAATCGACCCTTACGTGACCCCAAAGGAGCAGTGAGGTTGGATCTGCTCTTGAGAACATCCGTTGCCCCCCGAGTGTTCTGGAATGTGATGGGATGATTTTCCTACCAAGTGCTGGCATTAAGCTGGCGTCTGACACAGGCACTTACTGCAAACGACGCAGCAGCCATACACGTGTCCGTATTTTCCTCTGCAATAGGAAAGCCCCTTTAAAAAGTCTGAGTCGAAGGCCCAGCGCTTGCACACTTCCCTTCCCTTCTCATGTAGTTGGTGAAGCTTGGTTGCAGTACACAGCCTCACTCTCTCACACGCTCTCCTGTCTGCACAATCACAATCGCAAAGGGCTGACTTAACCTTGGCGCAGACAGGCTCAAGTCCACTACATTCAGCAGAGCTGCTGCCTCTTACTTCAGAGCCAATGATAAACCTTGACTATCTTGTTTCTTTCTCTCGGCTCTGAATTAGAGAAAGGTACCATAGATCTACCCATGTCATTCTGCTGGGGGCAGAGTTATTCAAGTCGCCCTTTTGAGTGCTGGGGCCCACTTGAAATGGATGTGTATCGGGATAAGCGGTGGGGCATAAGGTCTGTTTGCGTACGTATGTCTCTTGGGGTTGAGGAGTACTCTTGGTGTTTTGGTTGAACTATATTTAAGCAGGGTAGATTTCTGATTTCTAGCTCCACTTTCTGAGTGATTCAAAAGTACTGACACTACTGAGATTCCTGAATTAGACCAATAATAAACAGCACAGATGCAGGTGGACCAGAGGGAAATTCTCCTTAAATGTACATAGCTAGCCATTGTCTAAAATAACGTAAATGTGCATATTGCTTACTGCATTGGCTTGCCAGCCCTTTCTCCTCCTAGGTACACACCTGTGTGCTTAGCATCTGCTGTAATGCAGTCCCATGAGAGCCTCACAGCTACTCCCATTCAAGGCAGATTCTCTGGTTCTTTAACAATGTTCCAGGAGCCTGATATCCCCTGATCTGTTCCCTTTGCTGTCACATCCAATCCAGTATACATCTCATGTTCTACCAGGAGTCCTTTTGTCTTCTAAACATTGCTTTATAAGGGCCAAATCCTGCTGCCATTGATCTCAATGGAAAAACTCTCCTTAACCTCGGTGGCATCAGGATAGGGGACATCAGAGGGGGAAGATTCACTTACTCTGAGCGCCCTCTGCGCTGACTTTGACTGTTGCAGCCTGCGTGGTGTTTGCAGACTGTATTGTGATGGGGGATGGGAGGGGAAGGCAGATGTACTTGTTTATGAATGTGAACCCTGCCACGCATCTGTGGCTAGTTCACACTGCTTATTTGCCTGCTCATAGGTATTTGCATGAGCTGTGAATGACTGAACAGTTTTACAAAGGAGCTTTGCAAGGACCAGGGGGAAGAAGGGTGAGTTGCGAACATCTACCATTAGCCACTTTGTCCACCGTGAACTTCAAATTCCCCATTTAACCAGAATAGAAAAGGCCCAAATGCCGTTATTTCCCTTTCTTCGATCAGCACCAAGCTGGTAGCAGTCGGCAGTATTGTTTAAAGCAACGTTAGGTGCCTTTGACCTTTGTTCCCTTTACAGAGCTACGGTACAGTACCACACCACCACCAGCTCTTGCGGATGAAACCGACCATCCCACCATGCCTCAGCCTGTCGAGTTTCTGTCTCTGGCCCAGCCAGGCAGGGCACGCTGGCCTATAGATGAATGTCAGCAAAGAGGGTTGACGACGTGTCTCTCTGATATAGCCTAATATATGCATTTCTAATGTGCCTACACAATAATTTAGGTCAGACTTGAACAAAAAAACCTCCTGCTGCCACTGAAGTCAATGGGGAATTTTTGCCAGGGGCTTCACTAGGAGCAGGATCTGATCCATATTGTCTGTCCTGTGATATGTGCCCCCTTCCTGATCCCGCCCACCAACATTTATCCTTTCTATGTAACTTTATTTTTTTGCCACAGACATTTTTTAAGTCATTCAGAAGAATCTGCGTCCTGAACATGAGGTTTGAGACTCTTACCTAGGCAATTAGGTATCTTAGATTGTATTCTGACTGGAACAAAGATTTGGATTTGAACTATGAATATAAATTGACAGGGCTGGCTTAGTGTCTTCCCTGCTGTCTCCTGGCTGTGCTGATAACGTTTGCATTTTATTTCTGTGATGAATACCACAGGCTACAGTGCTGTATCTCATTGAGGATAAATGTGTGTGGTCCCTGCATTCTTGTGCCCTGGAAAAGCAACCAGAATTCCTTCCCTGAACATCTAGGCCACTGAGGATGCTCACTAAGAAAGTGGTGGCTTTTGGTCTCCACTTCATAGTAAATGAAAGTGGCTCCTAGGCTGGTCTCTGACAGCATACGACTCCTGGAGGAGTGGAGCGCGGTGCTACTCTAGAATCTGTGTGTCTCCATTCCAGTGGCTGGATTAGAATTTAGTATGAATTCTATGGAGCTTCCTCACACAGCTCCTGATCCTTCCAGGTTCACAGTGCTTAGAGCTGCTCCAGAAATCACTGGAGTTCTGTGCAAGGACAGTTTGCAGGATCAGCACTAAGGATTTTTTCCGATGGCTCGCTTGGTAATAGGGTAGTGCAAAAAGCTTCATGTCTGGGTAGGAATCTAGCCTAGGTCACCAGTGTCTGAAAGTCATGGCCATGTGAGGGCGGTTGAGTGATCTGCGAGTTGGGAGTCTCATTCCCTTTGTTAGCATCTGGTCTCTCCATTCCCAGACACTTCATCTCATTTGGTACCCTTATTGGGAATCAGAGTAGCAAGGCTGAGAAATGGGCCATGGACACGTCTTCCTTCTCATTCCTAGGGGTGTCTCTTCAAAGCAGGGACAAAGGCACAGGGAGGTGACTATGATGCTGTTTGCAGGATCGCTGTCTGTTCTGGGCACAGATCTTCAGCCTTGAGAGTTTCAATCTATAATTAGTTCATTTAGTTTCACTAAATTCTCTGAAACAAAACTTAACTTTTCTGGTTCTCTGTGTCCTATCAAGTTACAAGCAAACTTGAAGCCGTGCTCTGATTGGACCCCAAATCCTGTAGGGGCCAGTAACCATACAAATACATAGAATAATGTCAGCACAGCAAATATAAAACCCGGGGGAGGGGAGAATTAAAACCCTCTTGCAGAAGCTGGTCTGAAGTTGGTGCCACTTGAAATGTCCTCTCAAATGGCCAGAGGAATTCCCTGCACTTGCCTGGTGTGCTACATCCTTCAGTGTTTGTTTGAACGAGCACATACAGTGTGGCTGCGGCTTTATTCCATGCGGCTTTACCAGAATATTCAGCTCCCAGTCACATCCACGCAGTCAATGAGCCAGTGGAGTGAGGTGTATCTTTTTTTTAAAGGGCTGTTGCAGTGAGACTCCATCTTTCTCCTGTTGCTGTCAGTTTTAGAGCCATCTCAACCGTACTCAGGTTCACCTTGCTGAGGGATGTTATTAAGGTAGTTTGCCAGTTCCACGCTGTAGTCTCTGTAACCGGTACACCACCACCTTGTGTATAGTATCTGTCTGGTATCTCTAGAGCAATTGACTACCTCAAGGGAGCCATTTAATGTCTTAAACGTCAGCAGTACCTGCCCCAAATGTATGGGGGGGGGGTGTTATATCCACATCCCAGAGCATATGAACGTGTTGTCCTCTCTCCATTTCCCAGCACTAGATTCTGCAGAATAGCACTCAGGCTTTTGAGCAGATTTGTGGTTTGTTTCACATTAACTGCTGACCAGAATATTTGGATGGTTACCCCAAAGGTGGCACAGATCCCTGCAAACTCAGCACTTCGAGACAGTGACCCAGGCTTGTGGATGGAATTAGGCTAAAATATTCACAGGAACCACATTCCTGTCTGGTAAGATTCCCTCTCCCAATCTCGTTAGTCAAAAATATTTGTTTGACAGGCCACCTACCCACAACTCCCATTCACTTCAATGGGATTTGTGAGATTGGCACCTCTCAAGCCTCAGCCAGTGGATGAAAGTAGAAGCCCTCATGGCAAATGCAATTGTATCTCCCTTGATTGATTGGTCCCTTCGTATATAGACCTTCTAACCAGTATTCTCTCCTCTAGTATGTACCCATAACTCCCACCAGTTAATGGGAGGTGCAGGTGTACATATCTATGTGAGAATAGGCCCCTAATTTTAGCAGGCTACTTGCAATCAGTGCATGGTTAGTTTCTTATAGCTGAACTAGGACAAGTTGCTCATGGATAATCCCTACTCGCTTGCTATTTCTCTCCCAACTGCATTATTGATGCAAATCTCCATTCCCAGTAGTGGAGTCGACAGGATCTCTGTCAATGGCCAGTTCTTGGTGCCAATTCGTGTTGTGATACAAAACATACACTGTTCACTGTAAAAGCCACACCTTGTGGCAAAGAAGATATTTGGAAGTATAGACTCTAGCATGTGCCTATGTCTTGTGTTTCCTTCAAAAGTTGACTATTTGCCTTTATTGGAGAAAATTAAGCAACTTGTAGTCAACATTTGAAAACTCTTGTGTATATTTCAAAGCAAAAGGCCCCAGTGTTAATTAGTTGCCATAAACCAGGTTGCACTGACCCATTGGTCCAGAGCATTTGTAGTGGTGGTGGATTCTGAAGCTTGATCGGATTTCATTGTCTTGATGAGGAAATGGAGCTGCAGGGCATAGCTCTGTGTCCTCCTGGATGTGTCTTCCTAAACTCTTTACATGGTTGGTGAAGGCTCACTTTCCCCCTTGCTTGTTTTTGGTGACCCCAGTATTGAGCTGTTTGCCAGTGGATGGCTGACCTGTCTGATCTCTCACCCCAGTGTAAATCTGGAGTAACTCCATGACCACCAGTGGATTTATACCAGTGTGAGATCAGAATCCAACTCCATGTCGTGGAGATAACTATATATTGATCAGTCTCTAGCTGACTTTGGATGTAAATGGAAAGGGGTAGGATATTACCTGAACCCTGCTCTTTCTTAGGGGTTTCTCTTTTTTGCTTCAGTATTTACAACTCTCCCTATTGAAGGGGTGCAAGAAAGGGGTCATTCAGTATTACATTGTACAGGCTTTTCTAATGGCAGAGTAGACTGTTCTTTCCAATCCTTTTAGAATGGGGATAAAGTTTCCCATTACCAATTAGTCTGTGTATTTTGATAGCATCAGTACCTGACCAGTCAAATGCTAGCGATAGTTCTTGTGATTAGACCATCAAGGGGTTGGGGTTGGGGGGGCGTATTTTCTCCTTCTCTGTAAATACTGTGTGACTCCTGAGATGTTTATGCCTATGGGTTCATAGACATGTTTGTACACTAAGAATTCTGCAGCAGAATATTTTTAAAAACATTCGCTGTTTTTTTGTAAGCTATATTTTTGTATATTTAATTGCTATTTTAAAATTCTAATGCATCTTTTTTGCTAATCACACTATTGTTAAGGAAAAGAGAATTTGCATGTGATTTGACTTGAAATGTAAATAAATGCGGATTTTGGAAATCGTGCTGTGTTGGAGTCACTTCCGCCACCATCTCACCGAATCACACGTGTTCACCTGTCTGGTTTATGTATGTCACCCCCAGGGTGACCCTGGCTGAGTCCATTGCGGACAAACAGACGGTACCTACTGCTAGGGGCAGTCCAGACCAGGACACCATGGTGAGACTGAGTCAACAGAGACTTGCCCCCTCCTGGCTTTTCCCCCCATAGATCTCAAAGCAAGTAAGCACCATTATCCCTCTCTGATAGATGAAGGGGAAATGCAGAAAAGTGACTTGCCTGAGGTCCCACAGTAAGTTGGGCAGAATGGAGCCCCAACACCCTGTCCCCTGTATTGTGCTACCTTCCATGTCAGATTAGAACTGGTCATCTTAAGGTGACTGGGGCCCTGGATTCCCTGTCATCCCTTGCACTACAGCCTGAGCAGAATATTAAAGCTTTATGGCTGGATTGTCCGAGTGTGTCCATGGCTCCAGATCACTTCAGTTTGGAACTGTGTGTGCTCAGGGCCAGTGGACATCAAGCCCTAACTAACTTCTAGCCCGAGATTGGCCTTGGCATCCCACTACATAAAGTTATCTACATAAACTGCTTGTTCTGCTGCCTCCCTACAAGACTGATCCAGCCTTACGCTTAGCATTAACAAACTATATCTCCCCCTGCTGACCACTTCTCCCTGTCCCCTCAGTGTACTGTAGGCAAAACTCACACACGAGCTGAATGAGAAATCCCGCATCAGCCAAGCCAGCCAGACCAGCATTTTTCTGGCTTGTACAAAGTGTTCTATTATTCAGCAGAAACTTCCAGAGTTCAAACTATTCAGCTTTCCTCTGTGCTAGCAACTACTCCCTGTCCAAAGGAAACCAGTCACCATCAACCTGGGAGAGCCTGGGATTGGCAATTCAACCTTGCATTGTCCAAATGCAATGTCCTGCCAAGCTAGATAGAGCTGAGCCAATCATTCACAACAAAGAATTCAGGTGAGGAATTCAGGGGTTACTGTGTATTCTTCCCCAGCTCCATTGGGGGGCCTTTTGGCTAGACTTCAGACTCGATCCCTGTCTGTACAGAAGAAGTTGCTTGGAAGGTCTTCCCAGATGAGTAAATTGCTATTTAAGACTGACTGTTCCATATCGTCGACAGTTCTACAGGTTTCCCTGGGGGGTTTCTGATGCCCAATAGAGGAACAGCAGCTGTGACATTCTCACCATTGAAAGATTTGCCCTCTCTGGAGCAGAGACTTGCCTTCCCCAGGGTAGTGGTAGCTGTTTCCAATTCAGGGGGGGTTCTTGGTTTTTCCATACCAGGGCTCTTCGATCTAGTGGGGATTCCCCCTTCCCTTTAACCATATGGGTAGGTTGGAGCAATTGTGATGCTCTGACACACATTTGCAACCCCGGGAGGAGTGTGTGTGTGGGGGGGGTTCACAATCCTCAGGCTGAGAAGCCATGTTCTAAGTACTTTCCTTGTGTTCCGGGAGCTGGGATACTAGGGCAATGGGATCATCTAGAGTAGGCGATGCCAAAACCAGTCAATGCTAGATTGTCTCCTGGGAGCAGAATGGAACCCTTTAGCTAAAGGAAACTTTCACTTCCAGGGGAAGTGTCAGCTGCCGTAGCAACTGGAACTCTGCTGCTGCCCCCATCCAGCCCAAAGGAGTCTGAATTGCCTCCCCAGCTCCATAGATGGGGGCTGCTTCTGCATGGAGAGCACAGGGGCAAAACCACACACCACTGGAATTCTTCCAGGCCGGCTCTGAGCAATCAGCTCTGACTCTCCTCCACCCCCTCCGGAGCTGGTAGTGGAAAGTAGAGTTTTATTGCTTAATTGCTCTCTTGACTGATGGCTGCAGTTAAGAGAATCTGGAGCAGCCTGTTACTAAAACAGAAAAACCAACCCTTCCCCCATAAGAAACGAGGCACTGCTGGTTCGGGGCGGGTTTCCTTACTGAGCTTCCCTGAGAAGTTCTGGTCTGCCAGGGACTTTCCATGGTGCTCTTGACGCTGAAGGAATTCAGGCCCCAGAGCTACATGCAGTCGCTGCCTAGTGAAGGGTTCCGCTCAGACGCTTTCAGCGTGTTGCCAATTGCTTTCATGGGGGAAGCAGCAGCCCCCTGGGCTCTCCCCCTGGTGAGGTGCTGGAGAACGCCAGGGAAAAGAGGAAACTTTTTTTCTTTTTTGAACCATCCTAGAGAAAGTAACCGAACTAGCCCACAGAGAATTCTACAAGGATGGCTCCAAAACCCTCCAGGAGCAGGAACTTGGCTTGTTCTTCAATGCTACAGGCTTTTACAACCATGTCTCTAGAGGAGGCTATTAATGATGCCAGTCACAATTGGAAGGGACCTGACCCCTCCATTGTGAGCTAGGGCATTAGACAAACTCTAACTCTAGGGAGCCAGAGGCCATTCTCCTGGGGAGGCAGGTTTAAAGAAAGCATGTATTCGATGCAAACTGCAGCAGCCCACAGCTCTGTGTGAACCAACACCTCACCCTGCTCTCTGCACTGGCTCCCCTGGGACTGCACGGAGCATCTCCACTGCAGCTGCGTTGCCCCTGGAGAAGGCGGGGGAGGTGGCTTGTGGCTTAGCAGTTCCCAAGCTGTTTAGGGCTTTCTAGATCAAAGCCACCACCTTTAAATTCCAGTGGGAAACCCCCAGGCAGCCAGTGTGAACGCCTCATGATGAGCGATGCTGCTTAACAAGCAGGCTGGCAAATTCTGCCCCCGTTTCTGTGTGTGACCACTATGGTGAGTGGCATGAGGAGAGGGGCTACGGGCCCTCCCTGCCTTGTTAGCACAGCTATCCTCTGCTTCCATCTCTGGGAGATACCAATGGGGGGAAGAAGGACTTGCCGCGCCTCTCTAGTGAGGTGGTCTATGCATTGTGATCTAAACAAGATGGGACCTAGACATGTCCCATTCCCCTGCAGCAGAGAGTTCCACAGCTAAGGTGCCCTTTCTCCCTGAGCAGGTTCCCTCATATGGTTTCGTTGCTGGCCTCAGCCCAGCTTGCAAGGGCCTGGGGTAGCTGTGCCAATTCTGGTACCTTCTTCCCTAGCTCACAATGGCACCTGGCCTATTGTTTTACCCCTAAAAGTGGCCCACTCAGGCACCAGTGGGGGAGGGGTGTGCTGTCATTGCTTGGCCTGTACCTGCTCTGTGGACAGGCGACTCCAGGCTCCAAGACGGGCGGGCTGATGCCTTTCACCAGCACTGCATTCCTTGACGGATCGGGAAGCCCAGCCAGCCACCTGAGGCTTGCGCAAAGAAACGTCAGGCTTTCCTAACCTTATCCACTCCCCACTGATGATACACAGAGCCAGGCCTGTGTGGCCCTGAAATGCCCTGTTGCAGCCTCTGTATCTCACTTGGGCCCCTGAGAAGATGCGGGGGGAGCCTCCTTTGAAGGCAACTGGGCCCCACTTCAGAGGGCAACTTTTTAAATCTCCTGACAAAGTCACAACACACAGCTGCTGTCCGAGCCAGGAGGAGGAGGAGAGGCAGAGCTCCCAGCAGGTAAGGATGGGGGTTGGGAGCAGATGTTAGTCACATGAGATCCATGGCAGTTGGATTTTATTATTCTGGGCCATAAACCCCAGATTCATCGCTCATGCACCGTATCAGTGAAGGTGCTTGGCACTGAGAGGGACTGGAGCAAAAGTCTCTTTAACAGCAGCAAGTGGTGGGATGTGTCAGGCTGGGACAGTGCCACTCCCCACCTGCCTTGCTAGGATGGAGGCCATGGGTGCTGTGCCACACTCCTTGGGAACTGGCTATATCCCAGCATAACATACCAGCCTGGGAACTGAGAGTCAAGCTGGATACTTCCCTTCTCATGCCTCACCACTAGTGCTAAAGAGCCTAGGTTAAAATTTCTGCTGAAGAGCCAGCTGACACCAGAGCAGTCCTTTATTGCTGCCTTCCTTGGTGGGCCCAAGAGGAGTAAGAAAATTACTCTTGGTGGTAAAGTCAGCAGCCCTGTCTCTGAATGCGCACACAGCCTGAGTCTGCTCTCACTTGCATTTGTTTTACCTGGGTGTAATTCCATTGACCCCCCTGGTGTTAACTCCTGATTTACACTGGTGTAAGTGAGAAGAGACTCCAGACCACGGGACAGATCTTTAGAGCAAGTCTGGGCCATTTTTACCTTGTCATGTAATTGCACTTTATGGAAACCCACAAGAGTACTTAATGATTCTTCAACAGCCAACACAAATGATTGCTCTGATTCCCTTGAACAGACACTCAACCAACCAGATCCCCTCCAGTTTTTACCCTGTGCTGCTCCCTCCTCAGAGCCACCACCACTGAAAATGAAACACAGTAGATTTATGAGAGAGGCGCCCACCCCAGAACTCCAGGTCCAATCCCCCCCAAATTGTGATCCTGCAGGTGCCTGAACCCACAGCCTTCTCTGGGTTGGGGTCCAGCCTTTCCCAACCCAAGCCTGCTCAGCGCTCCACACAAGGGATCAGACCAAACAATTAGCCGTTGTCAGCCCTGGGCTGTTAGCTCCCTGACAGTCATCAGAGATCTTATCAAATTGGTTTTGCTGCTCCAGTCACATGCAACCTGGGGATGGGGGAGGCAGGTGGGGAATTCTGCTAGCCTAGGTGATACATTTAAGGCAAAGAACCTGATCCTATGTGCATTACAGGCAATGGGGAAATTCCCCAGGAACTGGGCTCAGGCCCTTCGGCCCACCACTCTCTTCCCCCAGCTCCAGCCCATGTTGCTGGCTGTGCGTGCAACCGGAGCAGAAGCTGAGCCAAGGGGCGACAGCAGGTGTTTCAACCACACCCCATGGCAACCGAATCACAACTAACTCGCTGGGAACCAAAACCTCATGTGCTAGCATAAGGCAAAGTGGATTTATTTCCCCCTTTTTTTAATAAGCAATAATCGTCTGTCAACACTGCATTCCCGGCAATAAATAGCCAGGTGGCAAGTCACGCTCACTGCCTGTTCCCTCACAAGGGAGTCCAGCCAGGGCCAGTCTG